CAGTATCCTTTCCTTCTTATGTATTCAGAAAAAATAATTTACAATTAATTTTTACCTTAACAATCCACAAAAAAAAAAAAGACATGGTATTAGAAGATGTAACAGAATTGTAAGTGTGCGAAAGAGATTACATATGTCATATATACATTATGTTATATATTATACTTATATATATGTATATATTATTATTATTATTATTATTATTCAATTAATTATTGAAAACAGCACCAAATTTTAATTAATTGCTTAATTACTTATTGATTTATTTAAGTGAGAATACACCAGAAGGTCGTAAAACAACAAAATTAGATCAAATTCTTTTAAACGGGAATCATATTACTATGGTAACATTTGATTTTATTTTAAAAAGTAATTATATATATTATGTAAAAGAAGCTGCTAAAGGAGGGTTTTTTTTAGCTTATTCCTGGTGGCGAAGGTCCAGAAACTTAGGAGTTAATAGTTTTTTTCTCTCAATAAAATATATTACGATTATTTTAATCATGGTTGAAAAATAAATTTCTACCCTTAATTTTTTATCAATATCATTCATTTTACATATATATAAATATATATTATAGAAATTAAAAAAATATCTTTAGTAAAAAATTCATTATAATATAAAGATGCCTTAATTTTGGAATTTAATAACTCTACAAAGTAAAAAAACTGGCAGAACTAATTGTTTGTTAAGGTCTTCTTCTTCCGCCATTTCATTCTATCGGCTTAGTTTACTTTTTTCTTTTAAATTTGTTAATTGACTTTTAATAATCATTAACTTTTTCTTTAGATCGCTTCACTGAAGTCTTTTTTTTTTAATAATACATTACTATAATAATTACAAATAAATAACATCAGTTTAAATATTAATTTGTTAAATAATTAAAACTACTTGGATGGTTATCATCACTATAATAGAAATATAAATAAAACAAAGTGTGGTATAATTGATTTGTAATATAGAAAGAACATTAAAATAGAAAATTAACAATGAGATTGTGTAAATTTAATACTTGCTAGTTATAAACATTGAATGACTTGTTGTTGAAGGATTTCATCCACACTTTTCTTAATATATCATATATAATAATATTACATTAAATTAATGAAATTAAAATTCTAAGGTTAAAAGTTTATTCTCTTGATATTTTACATTTAAAGATTTTTTAATCCCAAACTTCCAAAGTTTTTGTATATTTTACAATTTTATTAATGCTAAAATAATTTTTTGCATCTTTTTCCATTGCTTCACTAATTTTAATATATTTTCCAGCTAATATTAGCAATTCCAATGATTTTTTAAGTTTTTTGTATTCCATAATTTCTATTAAATGACTATCATCAATATATATATCCCTCACATCCAACAACCCTGTATTTCCTATACGCAAAGCAATCGTTTTTAATAACAAATCAGAATTATTAAAAAAAGATTTTAATTCATCAGATGAACAATGAAAATCAATCTCCAAATGATTCAACGATTTAGGCAGCACTTTAGCTAAATTTTGTAAAATTTCTTCAGAAGTTCCCAGATACATTTTAAAAGCTTGTAATTCTAAATATTCCAATTTAACACATTTACTTATACCATCAAATAATCTTGATCTGTTCTCTTCGGTGCGATTCTTATCTAGATCACTTATCGTTCCACATAATTGCAACTCTTTGAGTGTTTCTTGTGATGCTGTAATAATTGTTTTGAACGTATCGGTTAAAAATTTTGTTCTAAATAAACTTAATTTTTCAAGTCTATAGAATTTTTTTGTACCATTTGTTGTTTTTTTCCAAATTTCTAATTTACTTCCACGTTCATTACTATTACTATTATTATTTCTAATACTATTATCCCTGTAGCCATTGTAGTTATAATTGTAATTATCATTGTTATTATTATTATTATTAAAAATTAATTTACAGTATGAAAATAAAAGAGTTTTAATATTTGATAAAGCATCAACAATATCAAAACCTGTAACGTCATGAAAATTAATAAAATAAAATTTTACCCAGCTCAAAGTATTAAAATGATGATTTTTTAATGTTAACAAAATTGGTAAGATCCTAGTATTATTATCCTCTAATCCCAAAGATAATTTCTTAATTTCAGTTTGTCCAGTAAAAAAATCAATTAAACCCATATTAACAAATTCATTATTTTGTAATGATAATGACGAAGAAGATGATGATGCGGATGATGACAATGATGGCATAGTTGTTGATGATATGATTGGTGGCAATAGCGGTGATGGCAATACTGATGATATGGGTGAGAATGTCAAAGAGGAGTAGATGTTAACGATCTTAATGTTGTTACAAATTTTTGTTATGCTAGATAAAATATGATTTTGATTGATTTGTTTGGCTACAAATTTAAATTCCTCAAGATCTGAAAAACTTGATTCGGCTTGTGGGTAGTTGAGCAGGGACTGGAAGTATTCGTTTGGTATACTTGGTACAAAAGTTCTTGACAAATCAAGCCTTTTCAAATATTTACACCGGCTTAGAAATATACTACATAAATATAGTGACAGTCCCAAGGTTCTTTCTCTAATTAAAGTATCGAAATTGCTTTTATACGGTGGTAGTGGTGGCGGTATTGATAATTCTGATGGTATAGATGATGGTGTTGATGATGATAATGATGAATGTTGATCTTCAAATAATTGCCGACTATTTGATTGGTTTTGCAATTCCAAAAATGTTTTTGAAAACCAATGCCGAACAGATATAAATACCATTTCGTAATTAAGCTCTCTTAAAAACGATATGTAATCAAAGAGGGGTTGCTGATAAGCTACTGGAAGATCATTCTTATAACTGGTGGTATTTATCAAAGATGGTGATGATATTGATTGTGAAGATGGAGATAGCAATGACAATGGAGATGGTAATGTTATCGATGGCAATTCGGTATCAATTGATAGAAATACTTTGCTTTCCTTTTCATTCAAACAAGATACATACACTTGAATTAAACCCGGTAAAGGCTTATGTAGGAATCTAAAAGGCTTACTCCACAAAATCGGTAGAACATTACGACACCAATATCGATTAACTAAAATACATGAAAACAATATATTTGAAATTGCTTCATTCTTGTCGTTGTTACTGCTTCTGTTGCTAGTACGCCTGGTGTGACAACATTGGTTAAGAGCATCTTGATATGATTTTATTAATTGTTCGATTATATTTAGAAAACATTCATCTGGTAATTTATTCATTTTTTTTTTTTAAAACAATAATATAAATTTTTTTTTTGTAATGAATGTACGTAACACGTAACACGAGATCTTCCCAGATTTGTATATATCCAAATTGGTGTAGCCTTATTAGGAATCAGAAAATTTTACATCAGAAGGAAACGGCTATGTGATTCTATTTAATGGAGATGTCAATTCATTTATTCATATCTGACTTTTTTGTTTCGCCAAGTAATCTGTTTCCCGCTACATATGTAAACTCGATAAGTCGGCCAAAAATTTCACCCCATTTTCTTTAATATTTAAGTAATTTAATTCGATAAGTCGGTTTTACTTGATAAGTCGGTCATATGAGCTCACCCTCACATGACCGACTTATCGAGTTTACATATGTATCAATTTTCTTGCCTTGTCAATCGCAACAGGGGGGAGGTAAGACATTCTTATATATTACGGATACCCTTACTTATGGTTTTGAGTCACCAATTTAATTCGTCTTTTTTTTTTTTGCTATATTTTATATTAATAATTTTATAAATGTGACGATTTTTCAGAAGCCTTAGTGATTGAAAGTTTGTAATACTAGTAAAATGCTAATAAAACATACTATTTTCAAACCACCACTAATCTTCTGTCTTCAAGGATATGGGCACTGAATTTGCATAAAGATAGTATATGGAAACTTCCCTAGCAAAAGGGCCCCAGTAACCTATGTAATTTCCGAGGATATTAAAACAACCCGTTATTATTTGTTACACGGATTTCAAAAAAATTTTGTCTGAAACCTATGAAATCGTAAGAGAGTTGATGATTTCCGTAAGGCCAGACATAGATTAAACCAAAAAACCATCTTTGAATCAAAAATATATAAATAATAGTTTTGAAAAGGTGTGTTTTTGTCTCTTTTTTTTTTCAGATCAAACTTATTCAAGTTGGAACTTTTGATAAAGGCTGAGACATACACTTTTATATTATATTGAAGAAATATGGTTTGGAGAAAGAGAAATTGATTGTTTTCACTAGTATGTATGAATATGATCAGTAAATCAGTAATAAGTACATAAATAAATGAACCATTGTTAATTAATAAACATTATGGATATCTATTCTTCTTATATATGTAACAATATATGCAAGTTTTCTTATTTTTTTCTCATTATCAATCTTATGAAGATGGTTTTTTTATATAATTATCCAAAAAAACTTTTTTAAAAGTTGATAGAAAAATTACTATTGTCAAAGGATTTTGTAATGGAACTATTTATGGAGTAAAAGTTGGATTTCCTCACACTCTTGTGATGACTTTAATATTTCATATAATCAGGTATTATATACAAATATCTAATTTAAAAGATAAATTTAAAGCTACAAAACAACATTCCAAAAATTTATTACAATGTATAAAACAATAATATACAAACTTATTATTGGTAAAGAACTGATGAACACACCATGTTTGAGTAGATATTATAAATACAAATATATTTCTATATTTGCAGCTTTAGTATGGGAATTGTAATGTAGTTGTTTTATCATGATCATTATGTGTTGCAATCATATATGCAATATTTATACTTGGATTCTGATAATGGGATTCCCTTAGAAATTTCTTGTGGCATAATAAATAATGTTTATATTTTTTTTAATTAATGTTTTAAAGAAGAAAATATTTGATTCATAATTAAATTTTGTAATTTATAGTTTCTGGTTGATTTAATAATCCAATAGAAAAAATTATATTTTTTCAAAATAAATTTACCCAAATAATAAAATTTCATTAAATTAGGTTTCTCATGGTCACTGACATCTGAACTTATTATGTATATTGGTTTCCCCCACAGTTAATGGTTTCATATTTGAACAAATTATAAGATTGTTTCTTGAATGTGCAGCCATTAGTTCTACCTTTAACTTGTCTAATTCATTATGAAGTACTTCTTGTTCTTTAGTTACAAGATTATTATAAAGAAGATGATAATAATGTTAAATAAAAAAGATTTTAAATTTTCTATTATTTAATGTGATTTAGTAACATTGTATGTGGAATTAGCCAATCAAATATGTGTGAAAATTCTTTTTAATTGGTTACGAGTTTTGTATTCCCAATCATCTATGTATGGTATAAATATTATATTTTCACAATAATCATAATAAATGTCAAATTCAAATTTGAATCCAACAAAGAATCGTTTTGAAGAATTAGAAGTTATAAGAACAAAACTAGATGTATCGTTTGGAGAAATATCATCATTAGTAGATTCATGGTTAACACCAGCCGATCCAATTGAAGAGGAAAAAGAACGAGAAGAAGAAATAAAAAGACAATTAGAATTAACAAAACGAATTCAAAATCGATATACTTCAAAGTAAGGAAACAACCATATAATTGATTTTTTATTAAATTAAGTTTTTTTTCGATTTTCCTGAATACAAGTAATTATTTTTTTATACTAGGATTGGATTAAATATAACTAAGAAAGATAAATTAGTTTCAGAATTAAAATTAAAACGTAAATTAACAAATGATAATAATGATGATGATGATGATAAACAAGATGATGATTATAAAATAATAAAAAAGACATTATATAATAAAAAAGTTTATAATAATAAAGGTGCTGATGAAGATGAAGAAGATGAAGATAGTAGAACTTCAATAATAAAATCTAAAAAATCTAAATTAAATAATGATTCTGATAAATTAATTGATAATAATGATATATTAGCATTATACACTAAAAATAAAAACAAAAAAATAAAATAAAATAATTTTATTTTTATGATAATAATTAATTATATTATATTTATTATTTTTCCCTGCTGAATCTTTCTTTACTTTCATCAGTTAACATCCAAGCAGGATCAAATCCACAAAATTTTAATGGATTTGTTAGAGTTGAATTGGGAAACGTATTATTAATTCCACCAATAGAAGTATACCTAATAATAAAGAAAATAAGACAAAGAAGAATTAATTAAATAATCAAATTAACATTTAATATTATGTTTAATATAACTTACCCTAAATTATATAATTTACAATATGGAATATTTAATGTTCTTAAAATTCCCATATATACACATAACTCCAATCTAATATTGGATAGACTCACATAAATTGAGGCCAATCTGGGTCAGTTGGAATGAATTTGTTAATAAATAAAATGATTAAATAATATTTATCAGGTAAATTCATGCGCATGAATTAATTAAATTTACCTCCATGCAAATCATTTCTTACACCAATTAGTATTCCTTTAACTTCTGGTTTTAATTCAGAATATTTTTCCAATGCCTTTTTCATTGACTCTTCTATTATTATCAAGCCTAAATTATAATGTTTGATACTTTCTTCTATAAATTCTTCGACTTCAGGAAATGGTTTTAAATGTTTAATATATAATGTTTGTATTTTAGGCATCATTTCTAAAGATCCTTTTTTAATTGCATATGAATTAGAATTTTCAACAAGTTGATTAAAAATTTCATTTGTAAAAAAAAGCATAAAAATTGAAATAGGTGACAAATTTGACAATAATTCTAATCCATGAGGTAATTTAACAATAGCATTATGCAAATTGTATCTATGCACTAATGTAGAAAAAGGTGGTGGTGGTGGAAAATGATTACTATTGTTATTTCCTCTACTGCTTGTAGACTGTCTTCTGCTATTTTCACCATTGTCAACTTCAATGTTATCAGTTTGAATAAAAGTATTAGTATTCTGATTAACATTAATTATTTCCAAATCTTCACTTAAATCAACCTCCTCATGTTCTTCATGCTCTTCATGTTCATTACGTTTAAAATCGAAATTAAATTCATTTTCTTCATCTGCTTCAATAAAACCTTCATGTTCATAAGAATTAATGTTAAAAGTACTCATTTTCAATATTCTTAGATAAGATGATGATTGAATATCAATGCAAAAAAAAATGAAACTTTATTGTAATTTTTAAAATAATCAAAATATAAATGATCGACATAAAACGGAAAATTTTATTTATTTTGTGCGATTATTATCATTATGTAATACTTTATTTGATTAGATAATAATATAATCCCCAAAATCATTTTTCAATTAGGAAATGATATGTAAAAATTGCATGTTATAAATCTGTACTCTTAAGTCACATATTTGTGACTTCTACGGTTTAAGGGATAGAAAATATTTACCATTCTAAATTTTGTAAAGGAATCAGCAAAATAAAAGACGATTATGTTTCATCATAACGTATATTATATAGTGTGTTGAATGAGCAAAGTATAATATTAGCAAAGTAATTTTTTAATATTCTTACAACGTTAGGCAAAAAGAATTGTTTAATAGTATAAATATATCCATGTAGTCAATGTTTAAATTTTATGAGTAAATTTCGTGTATTTGTTTTATAAATAAATAAAGAATAGCAAAAAGTTTGAGAAAAAGAATCATCCAATGAAGAAACATCAATGAACAAACACATGCACAATTTATCAATGATCTAATTGAAACTTTAATCAGTGGCTTTGCATGGATTCATGTTATAATGTAAGTATTCTCTTCGAGACTTTATTTGCCTTAATTCTTCACTAATAAATTGATGTTTTTAGTGATAAGCATGATCTGGAAAGTAAGAGAAGCACCAGCAAAAGACCTGACATATTATTAACAAAGAAACAATAGGTCTATGCAGGGGTGAATTCTATGGGTCCAAGTTGCTCTGATGAC